CGCCTGCAGCCCCCAGCTTCCTCTGGCTCCGGGGCCCCCGCCGGTTTCAACAGGAATCCACCCCGGTAGTCTGCAACGAGAGGGGCTCAGGGATTCACCCAGAACCTGACAGCCCTGCTCCCTGGGACCCCTGCCACCCAGGGACTCCCTTGGCACCAAGGGCCCCAGATCCTTCTCCAGGGATACCCAGGCACCCTGGCTCCCCTCCCTAGAACCTCTGACACCCATGGACCCCCCAGGCACCCCAGCTCTTTCCAGGGACTCCAGGTCCTCCTCCCCAAGACCCCCTGGTACCCAGGGTCCCACAGATCCCCCTACTGCAGGTCCTCCCAGCACCCAGGGACACCAGACCCCCTCTCTCCTCGGACCCCCTGCACTCAGGCATCCCAGCTCCCTTTCTCCTCTCCCAAATTACCCCTGTACTCCCTCCACCCTGCACCCCCCACCCCTTCCTGGTGCAGCCTGGGGGCCAGGCAGACCCCATGGGGTGGCACTCACCAGGCACTGGTGTGATGAGGTGTCTTTTGGGGGGGATGTCATGGTGGGCTGGGCGGAGGGCAGGCGAGCGCACTGTGGACAGGGAGAGCCACCAGTAACACCCTCCCCCCCTGCTGTGCCCACCCCTGCCTGCTGCCCCCCCCCAGCCAAGGTCCTCGGGGGGCTGGGTTCTACCTGAGCGGCTCTTCAGGGCATCGAAAGCTTCCAGCTCCAGGGGCATCACCATGCTGTCAAACCGGCCCAGGTCTGTGGGGGCCACCACGCTCCTGCCAGGGCAAAGGAGGGGGACAGGATGGAGCATGTCTGGGGCTGAAGAGCATATGTGGGGCTCGGGGTCTGTCCCATCTGGCTGGGTGATATTGGGGTACCCTGGGGTACCCTCTGGCACCACCTACCTCACATCCCGCAGCAGCAGGACCTTCTCGGGACGGTCCAGGATGGCCAGCAGTGGCTGCACCAAATCCTCCACGCTGCCCTCGTGCAGGTACTGCAGGTGCAGGAGGGGTGTCAGCGGATGGGTGCCCCCCTCCCCGTGCCTCAGTTTACCTCCCAGAGCATAATAGGGGCACGTAGCTCTGGTCACAGAGGTCCCCCCAGGATGCAGAGCTGCCGATGCTACCCTGCCCGCAGCAGCTTACCCGGGAGCAGTGACGGAGCACAGCCGTCACCTCATCGGGGCTGAGGAGGCGTGCGGCGGTGTCCTGGATGTGCGGGAGTCGGGCCTCGGGGTCGCTGCCGTTGGGCTGCAGGGTGGCGATGCCCGTGGGACCCAGGATGCTGGCACGCTGGCTTTTCTCTGGGGGGGCACAGCAAGGAGGGGGGGGCAGCGGGGC